CATCATTTGCCTTTAATACATATGCACCACATATAACATACCCACATATAACATACCAATATAACATATTTTTAGAGGTTTAAATTTTTTTCTAGGGTTGAAATAAATCCTTGTTACTGCCAGATTTATGATGAAAAGATGCAGTAATACTCTTCAATGAAACTATTCAGGCATATAATAGTGGAGCTGACATCTTCTCGAGGCCCTGAAGACTAAGAAATGGTGATAAATATAAAAGATTAAGGAATTAGCAAGATTTTTTCCCCTTCTTCAAAGATGATGATGATGACAATGATGATGGTGATGGAAGGGACTTTGGAGGTCATCGAGTCCAACCCCTTGCTCAGGCAGGAAACCCTACACCAGGGCTTTTCAACCATTTTACTGATTGTACCACTTTTAGGATATGGCAATATTCGATTACCACCTAGCAAGGTGTCAAAAACTTGATGACGAAAAAAAAAAAACCTGTTCAAAGTTGCAAAAGTACTGAAATAACTTATGACCATTTTTCTCACTTATGACCACTGCAGCATGGCAAGGGTCATGTGATTTATATTTGGATGCTTGATAACTGATTCATATTTATAATAGTCAGTGTTCCAGGGTCATGTGATCCTCTTTTGCAGCCTTTTGACAAGCAAAGTCAATGGCAGAGCTGCTGGTGGCCAAGTGCTAAGGCGGGACTTCCTTTCCTCTCTCCCTTCCCTTTCTTCCTCTTTCTCATGCCCACCTCCTTCTGAAGGAAGAATTTGAACCCCCCCTGCCATATTTTCCCTCTTCCATATATTGATCAAACAAGGAAAGTCCTCCAGAGACAGAAAAGACAAGCTGCTGAGCAAACTAGCTTAAAAAGGCACATTCCCCTTTAAGAATTAGCTACTGGCTAGAAAGGAAAGTAAGGAGCACAGCCTGCACTTAAGGAAGAAAAAAAATGTAAGTACTGGCTGCCGGCTAAGGCAACCTCCCCAAATGGCTCCATTCATAAGTAAAGGAGTGCTACAGGCAAAATCCATTCAGGAGAAAATTACTTCAAAATCCCTTGCAGCAAAACTTACAGCTAACAGCAGAGTAATAGAAGCTAACACGAGACAGTAGCCATCAGCCAAATACAAATTGCCAAACACTCCTTAAGAACACAAAGCCCTCATTGTACAAATCCCAGAACTTCAAAATCACAAAAGCACATAAGAATCCTTTCACTCTCCATCTCCTTCCCACCTCCAGCCATTGCTGCCTTTTTCCATTCCTCTTGGAGGGCAACCCCTCCCTGCTGCATTTCTTGTCTGTTTGCTGCTGCCAGCATAGGTGGCTACCATAGCAGTTGTAGATCAGCTCATGGCCAGCCAGCTAGCCTGCTTGATCTCCTCTCCCCTCCTCCCCCTCCCCCTTCTTCTTCGGTACAGCTGACTCCACCTCCTCCCAAGGCTGCTGCTTTTTTCTCTCTCTCCTTCTCCTGCCCAAACTGCCTCTTTTTATAGGCTCTGTCTCCGCCTCCCTCCTTTCTCATGGGGGAGAGTGAGCCAGAAGTGAACCTGGGGCCTTTGCAGCTCCAGAGGGCTCTCTCACTGTAAGTCCTTGCCTGTGCTGGCTCTTTCCCTCCCCCACTACACTTGGCTAGGCAGGGCTGCGTACCATGTGCCACTCATTAATGTACCACAAGTGGTACGGGTACCACCGGTTGAAAAGCCCTGCCCTACACCATTTAATGTGCTAATAAGCAGCTTCCATCCTTACTTGTATCACATTTAAAACCATAAGGCAGCAAATGAATGTATATTTTAAGGGTCATATTAGAAGAATTCTCAATGTCATTCAAGATAGATAGATAGATAGATAGACAGACATTATTCACATACATACATATACATATAGGCAAACACATAGTGCAAGAATTCAAAGCAACATGTAACTGCTTGTGGAAATCCAGCCTAATAATAATTCATCAAGCTCTAGCAACTTTATTTATTTCGTTGGTTGGTTGTATTTCCAATTTATAGGGATGCCTCAACTCAAAAATTATTCTTAGCAGTGTACATTTAAAAACTAATTGATTATATGCCAGTTGGTGTCAATTCATAGCAAACACTCAAATTTCTCCAAGATGAAAAAAAGAGACAAAATTAATAGAAACCTGATGTAAGAGGAGAAATACATATTACAAACAAAAGAAACAAAGACAACATGACTATAGATTGTGTGAAATATTTGTCTCTATAGTTAATCAAAATGTATAGGTTTCATTTTAAGGTGGAAAAAAGTCAAACAAACAAAATTGGTAAAAAACTTTGTGGCTTAATTATAATCACTATCACTTAATGTCACTATCAACTTACTGTACCTGCAAATTGCGACTGATTTTCCTATAGTTTTATTTTTAAGTAGATACATTCATAGATGAGGAAAGCTTCTGATCTTGATTATACTGTAAATGTAATATAGGAGATGAAAGATGTCCAATTATTTCTGATATTTTCTCAGCCACACATGCAACCCTAAATACAAGTGACTCTATAATGCTCATATTTCTGCCATCTGCCAAATAAATAAGAGACGGAGGATAATTTAGATTTAAAAAAGCAACCTGGAAGATTGAAATATGCCCTCCATTTTTCTTCTCTGGTCAAATTGACAAATGCATGTATCTCTGCTGTAGCCATAATTGCTTTCGCTTTTAAAGTATGAAAGCCTACTCCCATTATAACATTACTTTGCCTAAAAACAAAGATCTTTGGTTTGGTACAAAGCCTGGACAAAAGAGGATTAAACATGAATTCAGAAGGAAAAATCTTTAATCACCACATTTACTGGATATATTTGGCTATCCAAGCAATTGCTGAGGATTTTAAATATATATATGGAGGGGATTTTTTTTAAAAAAAGTGATTTGCATTTATTATTAAGTTTCTCAATATTAGCCTGCCCTGTCCTGCCCCTTTTTAAAGGCATAGAAATCAGGGTGCAAGCTAGTCTTGTTTCTTTCTTTTTCATTTTATATGTTGATTTGAACTATAATTCTGCAGTTGCCAACATGTTGGAACACTCCATGCAAGCTGATCACTTGAAGGGGAGTACAGCTATTGCAACTGAACCAGAGACACAGCCAAGGTGAAATCAAGAAAATGGGACACTCAAAATGCTTGTTCCCTCTTTGTTAAGTTTTGTTGACAGCAAGGCATTTCCATGGGTGCATGAAGAGGTAGTGGGAGCAATCCTATTCACTCTGAGCAGAAAAACCGGGGGGGGGGGATTTATTTTATATTTATTTTATTTTATCTTTGTCTCAACCTTCAAAAAAAGGCTGCTAAATTATTTTAACAGTCATATAAAAACCCATAATTTACAAAATGCAGCTAATGTGGGTACTAAGAAAATTACAACCATTGTTACATATTAGAGAATGTGTTTGACATAAGTATATGAAATAGGATTGGTTGTAAACTAATGTTTTGCTATCATTAATGAGTTCTCAAATTGATTTTGAACCAATTATTCACCACTTATTAATTAGATAATGTCAGTGTTTCCTATATCTTTTAGGTTACTGAACCTGTTAATTAAAAATAAATAAATAAATCCCAAAAGCCTTCGCCAAAAGCCTTGAAAGGTAAAGCTTTAGCAATTGGCTGCATTTTTTCTTGTTCTGTTTTTTCTCACAAAAACCCAGAAAAATTTGCGAAAGACTAGGGTTCCTCAAAACACGATTTAAAAATGGGATAGAGACTGGAATAAGGGACTGACTACAATGATGAAACAGAGCAAACGAAAATTAAAGGCAACTACTTATAGATATTTTGTTTCATGACATATTTCCTGCAAAATAGAAAAAAAAACCCTCTAATTTGCAATAGACAGTCAATAGTTTCATATATGTAAACTGCATCTCCTTTGTTTCACATATATAGCATAACAGAATTTCCTAAAAATAACAGGAATACACAGAAATACACACAGAAACACACAGGCCCAAACAAAGTGTTCCTATTACTTAAGCATATATGTTTAGATATTATATATATATATTATAAAACATATATCTTTTAAATATATTTTACACCATGTATTAGAGCAGGCCATGGTCCATAACAATTGTGTCATTCACATTCATAGAATGGTATTAAAATATTGTCTCTTTATCTTTCACAACATTACATTACGGAGATCTCCTGACAATATAATCATGAAGGTTTGGCATTATTCCCAATTCAAAATAAAACCAAAACAAATTTGGTAACATGTAAAATACTTGTGTAAATCAGCCAATATTCTAGCAGACACCAAGTGTCTTTTTGGACTGTGGCAATACAGAAATATGTTAAACATACATACATACATACACACACACACACACACACACACACACACACACATACACAACACACACAGAGAGACAAACCCAGGTAACCATATATAAAGATTGCTATAAAAAAATTCAGTGGTTCTCTGATCATTAATTCTATTCAGGATTTTAATATTCTCCTACTATAGGCTTAAGCCCAGAGTGAAATTCAAATTCATGCAATTCACATTGCTCCCGTATCTGCAACAAAGGCAAATTCTGCAATATTGCATTGCTAAAATTTATCCTTATATTAGCAATAAATGGCTGTTTATAAGGAAACATTCCCACAGTTAATTGAGATGTTCTTCCTAGAAATAGTTTCTGTTGAATGTCAAACAAAGTACTATAGTGAAGTTACCACTATGTATTAGAGCAGGCTTCACAGTGTTGTACAGCCCTCTCTAAGCATTCAGCATATTGCCTCCAAGAATATGGGTCCTCATTTTACCAACCTCGGAAGGATGGAAGGCTGAGTCAACCTTGAGCCGGTGAGACTCGAACTGCCAAACTGCTGGCAGCCAACAGTCAGCAGAATTAGCCCGCAATACTGCATTCTAATCACTGCTCCACCACAGCTCTTGTATAACATATGGCCTTGAAGAGGTTTGGAATTAATTGTGGCACAGAAGGCATCTGTAGAACACTAGAGAGATATTACCTTTCCAACATATTGTGGATCCGGTCCCATGTGCTCTTCTAAAACAAAGAACTGGTTCCATACCCATCCACGTTTGGGCCGGTGGTGGACTTCTGTTTCCCCCTCTATATGTCTGGTTTGATTTCTAGTCACCTTAATGGAGCCATGATGTGCAGTTCCATAACACCTCTGCACAAAACAGAGACAAACTAGGACTGGACAGATGCAAGATGTGCTCGTAATTCTCATTGTAGGATCACTTTCCAATTCAAAGAGCTTCTTTCTTCGTTTTCCACTTTCTCTTTCCCACTGTAATCCGTTAATAGTCTCCCATGGATGAAGGAAATAACTGATTTAAAAAAACAGTCCATAAAGTTTGTTTTAGCTTGTCCATGATTCAGTTGCCCATTGGTCTGTTCACATCATGAAAAGCCAAGTGAAGAAACCACTGACATCGGTGATCTTCACAACTGATTGTTGAAGCCACACATTTTATACCTAATGGAAAAGAAAAAAAAAATACATACCACTAAGTTCCAAAATCTCAGTTTTCTACTTTAAATAATGAACATTTATCTTACGGTATTAGATGGTTATGCCAAGGAAGTATCCCACAGAAACCTTTTGAAAGAATGAACATCTGAATGGGGTGGACATGCATATAGATTTATGCATTTAAAATTAGTATTGTGTGTCAAGATGAATAGAATCAAGAGAACAAAATTACAATGAGTACGAAGCCCCTGTATACTTTATTTTATTTATGAAGGTTTACCAATCATTAAAAGCTCTGAAGCAGGTAAGACAATTTCTATACATCATGTTTGTTTAATTTATTTTGGGAAGTTGGCTTTTATACTCAAACTTCTATAAGTAGTCTTTGTCATCCCAATTCAAGAGAGATTATGAGAAGTAAGAAAACTGTAGAAACAGCCCCACATGTATTTCTTTTGGAAAATACAGAACTTTCCACATTACTGGGCAACACATAAAGACAACTGTTATGCAATACCTGGATGATATCTCCTAGGCATGGCACAGCATTTTTGTTGAGCCAACTGAATTTAATTTACACTTCCCAAATTAGTGTGAATTGGAATTTGTTTACCTCCTCCTCTAATATACACTTTTTCAAATATTCTTAGAGTAATCAAGAGGCTTGAATATTTAAAAACTACCTAATATATATATATTATAGAAATAAATGCAAATATTTTTAAAGTTTGCAAAAGTAAGTAGATATTTGACAAGATGGACTAAAGACATAAAACTCTGGAACAGACTGATTTTTAGACTTACCAAGGCACTCATAATCATTCTACAATGCAGCTACTCCAAAATCTAACAAAATAACAAGTCACACACACACAAAACTTTCCATACCTATGAGTACCATTTTATGTTAATGTGGCAGGAAAGAAAAATGAAATAATATATATTCGGTAGCCAGTAGAGCAAACATTAAGAACACATCTTAAGGGCAAGTTCTTGAAAAACAATAGCAAAGTCAAGTCACAGGAAAGATGTAGGATCTGATAACAAACCCAGCTCCACCATGGGATATGAATTTTTTTGTCTTTTACACATACACTTAAAAATGAAAATTCCCATTGGAACAAAGCACTGTTACAAGTGTCTGTACTCTGTCCAAATACACTTCTGTCAGGCGTCATCAAGGCAGAGAGCAAACACCAGCCCAGTCTTTTTCTACTAATTAAGGAGGGAGCTATCCCCCTGGAGATGCATATATTTTCCAATACAAATGAAGCCATTACAGCAAGATGGCACCATAGCTTTTCTCAAAAGAAATAATGTGAATAGTTTATACCACTTCATGCTTCTAGCCTCTACTTTCATTTCTCCTTCCAAAGAATCCTGTTAGATACAGATCAGTGTTTTACATGTGCATTGTTCTTTGCTACCTGAAATGCCTAAAAATATACTTGTATAAGGAATATTGTTAACTATATTATTCTTCTTTTGTATATTTTGTTTTTTTCATAGAACAAAACATAGCATATAGACTTCGATCATTTCAGCTTTTCAAATCTGTAAAAACATTTCTCAGTCAGAGAGAAGGAATAAAGCTTTTGTTATATGTAGCTATTGTTCCTTTTCTTTTTTTTTCTTTTCTTTCTATACATGGCAGTCTAAATATTAATGAATATGTTTCAAAGTTCAAAGATCTTTTCCAAAAATGCTTTATCAGAGTTCCATTCTCTTTTATAAAAAACAGAATTAGTCGCACAAAATTCATTATTAGAGTTCCTATATTTTTCCTATGGTTTTTTTTCAATAATTTGTTATTCTTAACAATACTATTTAAGATGTACGCTTCCTTTTCAATAATAAATTATATTCTTGAATCATCATTTTTCCTTCGTTCAAAAACATTTTTTTTGTTTTATTATCTCTTTATCACAATCCAAAATCACTTCTGCTTTACCATTCTGAAGTCTTCTTAGATCAGTGGTTCTCAACCTGTGGGTCGGGACCCCATTTGGGGTCGAACGACCATTTCACGGGGGTCGCCAAACAATGCAGTCTGCCATTTTTTCCCCCTTTTCCTTAGCTGTGCTACTCCCTTTTATTCTATTGGCTTTTGAAAGCCAATAGAATAGACTCTCTTGAATAGAGTCTAATTCTATTGGCTTTCAAAAGCCAATAGGAATTGTCCAGGCTGTCTCTGCCCTGCTGAGCCCGCCAAAAGTCCCATTCTGCAAATGGTGCTGCACCAGTTGAGTAGTCCTCGACTTACGACCAGTTGAGTAGTCCTCGACTTACGACCGGTTGGGGGTCGCGGCATTAAAAAGGTTGAGAACCACTGTCTTAGATAAATTCTCTCTCTCCCTCTCTCTCTCTCTCTCTCGTTTTACTTTTGTTACTCCAATTCCTTTTATCCTCACTGTTCATTCCATAACATATTAGGTAAGAATTAATTCTTTAAGTATGATACTAGCAAGGTCCAAAGAAATAAATGTTAAAAGAGCTCAGTACAGACAACTCATCTTTCTGAGACTATAATATTAATATTAAAAAGTTAGTATTCTATTAATTGGAATGAAAGTCAATTTTGTAGTAATTTTGGCATTCCTGAGAAAAGTTCTTTATTGAATATCACAAACTAGCACGACAAAGTACTTTGGATTAAAGAAGTGTGTGCTTTATTTGTGCTGTTCTTTCTTTATAAGGCAATTGTTTTAATTGCAATCATTGGAGGTAAAGATGAATTGCTAACTACTAAGCTTCTATGTGAGTATACTCAATCTATCCTTGACAAAATGTAACTAAACTTGAAACTAATTATGACATTTACTTCGACAATAAGCAGTTAAAAGTAGCTTCCTTCCTCATGCAAGAGAGAAAAGCATGCCTTTCCACTGAGCTACTTCGTTCTTTGTCATCACCTAGGAATCTCCATGAAATTAATTTTGGAACTCAGAAGGGAGTCACAGCAAGCTGAAATTAAATAATTAAACAAGGCCTGGATGCTAGTTGTGGGAATCTACGGACAAAGTTTTCTAGCATAGCTGAAAGTTATTAGAATGTACCACTTCCTGCTTATTGAAGCAGAAAAGTTCAACTACATTACCAAAATGCTGGCCATGCACTTGTCTGAATTTATGAATGTTCACACTAGATACAGTAGCATGCACACAGGGTCTGCCCCATAAATTGCTAGCCCTACCCATTCAATCCCTGTCCTTGCTGCTTTGAGTGATGGTGATGCAAGGAAAATTTTGCACATTCACAACTGCAAACCCTGTTTTATCAGGGGATATATATGCCATATATCCAGGATATTAAATGGTATAGTAGAGGTTTGGTTTCCATCATTGACAGACTGACTTAAGAGTGAATGAGCCAAAACCTGACAGAATATATTTCATAAATGTCATGTATTTTGTGTGTTTCTGTGTAATTATGACCATGCATTTGTTGCAAAGTGGATAAGCATCCCTTTGGCTGTGAAGACAAGGGGATCAGGTCCTTGAGTAAGCCAAAGCTAAAGCACTGGTTTAAGAAGATTATCAAGGAAGGAGGATTAGGGCAGAAAGCATTGATTAGGCAATAAGGATAAGGAAATAATGCATGAGATCAGCTAGCAGACAACTACATTTCCAAATTATGCTCAAACCAAACTTCAAAAATATACAGAAAGGTTGCCTCAAAAGCAAACGTAAATGTCCTGATTTTTTTTTTTTGCCTGCTTGATTCAAAATACAAATCAGAAAGGAATCTTCTAGCATCCTTCCCTCATCAGTTACCCAGAGAAAGAGCAGAAGAATTAAGAATTTCAACAAGGAGATTTTTTTTTTCTCAGTTCCTCCAAGTTTCCTCCTCATTTTCTTAATTTAAATGTAAGGGAAAGATGGATCATTTAATACCATGGGACAGCCAGTCTGATGTAGTGGTTAAGGCACTAGGCTAGAAACCAGAAGACCATGAGTTCTATTTCCACTTTAGCCCCAAAAGAAGCTGGGTGACCTTGGGTCAGTCTCTCAGTCTCAACCCTAGAGAGAAGGGAAAAATACATCCCAAAAATGCTTCCAACTGCAGGGACATATCTCTGTAGTTGCCAGGAACCACAACTAGTCCGAAGGTGGAAAGGAAATAAGTATGTCATATGTCATCACACTCTGTCAAGCAAACATAATTTTAGATAATTCTTTAGAGTTTTACAGATCATTCAATTCCCACCTATTTTCCTCAGCCCGGTTACAAGGAGACCACAAGGTATTGACCCTGCAGAGTGAGTAAATAGAATCTCTTTCTTTGCCTCATTAGCAATGCTCAATGAATCTAAAATTACTCTTCCATTATATAAATGAATTGAGGAAGAAAAATCCTGTAGTCTTCAAGTAAATATATTATATGCTTTTGTGAATAACAGATTTTTATTGATAGTGATTTTATATTTCAGCTGGGTCAAGGAATAGCTTAAACTGTATTGTACCCAAACAAGATAGAATCAGAAAACATTTTGTCTTATTGAATAATTTAAAATAACCAAATGCAGACAGCTAACCAAATATAAATTATTTGATCTCTTTCGAGCATGGAAATACAGGGATCCAAAGATTTTCCATTTATCTATAAATAAAGATTTGATGCAAATGTAATTCAAATGCAGCTTTGAGGGGAAACAGAAGGACAAAGCAAAATATATAAGAATGTGGTAATGTGAGATTAAATATGCTACATCAAAACTCTATATGGGTTGATGCTGGCCCTCAAAATCTAGACTTAACTACTGAATTTTATTGGAAAGATGTACAAGGATTGCTTGCAGACAAATCAAACTAGGATTTTTTTTTAAGGCAGAAGGAATGAAAAGCACGATTGTCTTCATTAAGCCCCAAAAATCTAGATTTTAGACTATGCTTGATCCAAAACAGATGAAGGCATACTCCTTCTGGTCTTGTCTTGCTCGGTCTGCTACAATTTAATTTGTTAAAAGCCAGTTCTAGTACAGTAAATTAACGTAATGTTTAGCT